AAACGGAAAAAAATAATAATATCCGAAATATTTATATGGCGAATTCTACAACCGATGTTGTAGTCTGACAGCTATTCTGTAATTTTACAGCGCTACCTTGAAAACGTAAAAAAGGTGTCAACGTTTTTTGGGTTTCATGGCATTTGTCGTAATTTTACAACTGCGCTCCTAGTTTACGACACCACTTGCCCCCAAAATTAGCTTAACATTTCCTGTAAAATTACAGAAATTTTTTTAACAGTGTGAATGATATAGCATTTAGAGATATTTGATAGATGAGATAACTCCTTTTGTAAGAAATTGAAGAACTTGCCTCCAAACTCCATTAATACACACGAGTAATTCGTCTCATCTATCTTTACGCAAATTTTTATGGGGGATACATTTTTTAAAATCTAGATAAGGTCGATATAAAATATTCTACCCTCGCCATTTTAACAAACAATCTTTAAAGAATAAAAAATAAAAGTTCATTTAAATTTATAGCGTTAAACAGTTTTTTTGGTGTTTCTTAAAAACTTGTGGTTTTGCAGTTATCCTCTTCTTCTGCTTCCTGGACCATTTTGATAGTACCCCCTTTTATTTCCAGGCCCCGGGGGAGAATTGTCAAGTACGGCTGAGTGGATCAATTGCTTTACTCTTCTCATTTGGATGTGTTTGGGATACGCAACCATCAGCGCTTGCGTCTTGGCGATAGCGTGTTTGTGGTCAATCGAATTGGCAGTGATAGCGGTTCAACGGGTTATCAACAAGGGTGTTGGAGTGAGTTGGGATTTGATTACTGCTTGTATGAAAATTGAATATTTCTACAAAATGTACTTATAGCCGAACGTCATTTCGATGGCAGAAAAGCAATGCTGCTATATGGGCCGCACCACAAAGCGAGCTATTATCAGTTTGTATTGACATGGAACGTCTCTTTCACGACCTTCTGCCTCAAGTCCTTTTCGCGACTACCATCGTCCCCCTCTTCGCAATGGAAGATGTATGTACCTGGCTGTTTCATTGGCTGAGCAATTAGCAAAGCCCATAACTCCACTGACCGAAAAATTTCATTCGGTGTTTTTTTTTTTTTTTTTTTTTTTTTGTCGGTCTGTTTGTCTGTCTGCACAATAGCTTGAGAAGGAATTAAGATAGCGATCTGGTTATTTAATTAGGGATGTTTTGTATCACAAAAATACAGATCGAGCAGGAAGATGAGCATTCTAGCTCAAATAGGGTAGGATACAGTGATTGACCCTGTAGGCGCACGCGCACATCTGCATACACCTCCCTGCCACCTAGCTGTTGATCAAAATTTTCAAAATTCACTACGTGCAATACCTAGGTAAGGGTTTGAGCTCGAACTATGCGGTGGCTGCTGCGTGAAATTCTAAATTCTCATTGGCCTAAACAGCATATGAATTTGGGGCAGAATCTTCACAGTGATTGACCCCGTTGGCACAGTTATTGTCCGGGCCGATACAGGGATTTTTCCCAGCCATTTTTGTCGATAAAAGTAGAAATGCAACGAAGATTTCCTCGGTTATCAGTTTGGGTGCCTATTCGGGCCACATGACTATATTCTTCATTCAAACACCCTCCCCCCCCCCCATTCGACAATAAAGGTTCAACACATTCAAAGAAGTAAAGTAGTGCGATTTTGCTGTGCGTAACGTGCTTTACACACTTCTACTGCTTTGCAAAATCTATGATATGCCAGCTAGGGCAATCTAGGGCCAGCTACGATGCTGGGGTGGCTCTACTCCCTCCACGCAAAAAAGGCGGGAAACGCCCTAAAATCGTCCGTTGAAGACATTTTGACGTGCTGTACTTCGCCAATCCCGGCCGAAGCGCCTGTATCTGACCATATCATGTTTCTTCCGCGTGTCTACAGAATACTTTTACATGAACTCGCGGTACGCCAGCCCTTCGAAGGGTTGCCTCTGACGCTTTCAGCGCAATTTGAAAAGCTATCCTATGTCAAATTTGTAGAAATGGGGTTCGAGAGACCGCAGATGGCGAAAACGAGTAACATTCTGTTTGAATATCATTCTTTTTCGACGAAGGGACAATCACGGTCGCATTACCTTTTCGGGAAGCAGTGATTGTCCCTCTCCCCTACAGCAGGTTGCAGTCAAATATTTGCATCATCTCTTCTGCCATGTGGTACAATGAACCTTTATCAACCTATCCGCAAAGAAGATTTCAAACAAATGCGTCGGCGCACGGTCTAAGAACCCCCGATTGTAACCGTCTGCTCTTAGTGCGAGCGCTAAGAAACTCACCTCCCTGGCGGGATAGTTGACAGATTAGGGACAGAATCACTGTCCACTCCGTGTCCGAAGTGTGTCTAACACGTCTGAAATAAGGCTGTATTCTGTCCTCTCTGTCCAGTATGTCCACTTTGCTGTCGAGCAGGTCGATGCCTTCTAACGACAAAGTCCGATGTGTTGCGCTCCCGTTACACAAAGTTTGATCTGTTTCGCTCCCGTTACACAAAGTTTGATCGGTTCCGCTCCCGTTACACAAACTTCGATCTGTTCCGCTCCCGTTACACAAAGTTCGATCTGCTTTTGGCCGCTCTCGGGAGACTCAAGTTTAGCGCGCTACCGCAGTTTTGTTGTTGTGGCATTCAATTTTTTCTTTAGAGTATGTTGTTCTTCAATCTTTTAGCAACAGACAGCAGCTTTTACTTTTTTTCTACCGGCAATATTAGCGAAAATATAAACATAATAAGACCGCAATTTAGAGCTCGACGGAAATCAGATCGAACTTTGTGTAACGGGAGCGGAACAGATCGAACTTTGTGTAACGGGAGCGCAACACATCGGACTTTGTGTAACGGGAGCGAAACAGATCGAACTTTGTGTAACGGGAGCGCAACACATCGGACTTTGTCGTTAGGAGGTATCGAGGTCCAAATGCTGTCCGATTACGACATCCAAAGTGTGTCTGAACACTGTCTGCACTGTCTACATCCGACCCTCGTCGGATTGCTGTCCTAATTCGGTGTCCAAAGTGTGTCCGAACTCTGTCCGCCCTGTCCACATCCGAACCTCGTCGGATTGCTGTCCAGAATACGATGTCCAAAATGCGTCCAAACTCTGTCCGCCCTGTCAACCACATCCGAACTTGTAGGACTGCTGTCCAAAATACGATGTCCGAAATGTGTCCGAACCCTGTCCGCCCTGTCCACAGCCGAACTCGTAGGGTTGCTGTCCAAAATACGATGTCCAAAATGTGTCCGAACTCTGTCCGCCCTGTCCACAGCCGA